CCTATGAGAAATCTGTTGATGTGTTCCATGATTCTACTTCTCTCATTACCAGATTGCTTGTCAGTGGTCCTTCGAGCCGGAAACAAACCAGCGACCTGATGCCCCTGTTAATTTGCTAGGCAGTGATGTTTTGTCTGCTATTAATGCCAACATACAGTTCAGTCCCACTGGTAATGTGACTTTGACTTAGCCCCATGAAGATAACTGTCTCATACCACTTGCCAATGTGCTGGCAAATCTTAACTTGTCCAACCCTGTGACAGAACCTACAATTGACTTTACCTCAGTACCCAACTCTCTATGGGCAACAGGGAAGACAGACACAGGCAGACTCTCTGTGCCCCCAGTCAAAGTGACTCTCCTACCGGTAGTCACCCCTCCCTGTCAGAAACAGTATCCCCTTAGACCAGCACAACATGACGCCTGTAGCGGAGAGCTGGTATTTCAGAGGTTATCTCCACTAAAGATCCCAGTGAGGCTCAGGAACAAGTAATATAATCCCATATAACAATAGTCACAGCAAGCAAGATAATCCACAAATATCCCAATACAGATCCCAATGACTGGACAACACACAGCATCAGGAGCAGAACTGAACTTTTCATCACACAACCTCCTTTTAAAGGTTTCTCCCATGCAAGGGAGGGATTCACATTAATTTATACAGTAGCCAATAGTGTAATGGTTACCTCCCACACATCTCCTCCCCTCAGTGTGACACATAATCCACTTATACATACTACAGTTTTACCCGATTTCTGGATGTACCCCAAAACAGTCAGATACAATTATATAAGGGGTACCCCCTGGTTTTACCCAATTTCTGGATGTACCCCAAAACAGTCAGATACAACTATATAAGGGGTACCCCCTGGTAGCCCTGATCTGGGTGACCAACATATTCAAAATTCACCCAGATCGGACCAGGGGTTCGGGAGTTAGGTGGAAGAGGCAATTTGACCGACCGCACACAAGGTAGTATCCGAAAAAGGCTCCATGTGTTTTGGCCTTGCGGTCGGTCTCTGTTCGGGAGATAAACCATATAGAATTACTTGCCATCCAACGTTAAATCGGTATTCGTATGAATACCCTTGTTCGGTATATTTAGTTCACCTGGTAGGCTCCTCCGTTCGGGAATTATGGCACTCTGGAGGTGTCCGATTTGAGTTCCAGACACTCGACGACCAAACACCGCTGAGATTTTCTTGCATAAGATGGCCGCCACCATGCGGTTCGTTTGCCGAATGGCGGCCACCCAGATATGTATACAAAGTACCGATTGCATGGTCAATTAGCTTGCGGTTACAGAAGTGTGAAAGCCTAACGAGGTGCACACTTCTCTCTGGGGTGGTCTGATGGTTCGGTAGTTTTCATTCGTATGGAACATGGACTGAAAACTACCTGTAATGGACCGTTTCAGCACACAGGGGGTTAAAACCGTTTAGGCGATCTTCCCCTTTCAGAGATGCAGGCACAGCTACTGTAGAACACCAAACTCCCGAACCGCAAATAAGGGAATGCTCTAATCTCCCGAACTGCATACAATATAGCACTCCAAACTCACGAACTGGAACCTCACGAATAGCTGCTAGCAGACGAACAGGAAAAGCACCCAAGCGGCTTACACTCCTGGCAATCAGTCTCTAACAGCATACAGTAAATCCCCCCAAAGACGAGACAAAGCTCTGTGTTGAGGGTCAAGCAGTAAACAGTCAGAGCTGTGGGTTTATTGTCCTTATATACACATTAGTACCACCCACAGGGTTTGGAACACAACCAATAAACACATACAATATACTCAGACACTCCCACACAAAATCCTCCCCTCTGCCTGTGATACAATTACCTTACACAATGGGAAATGCAATTATCACAAGCAGAGAAATACAATTTTTCCACATTATTCATAACTTGAAAAGTATGCATCACATTCACATAAAACTTACATAATCAGCATACTCCAAGTACAAACATATGTCAAAATCATCCAAATTGGTCCAGTGGTTCAAAAGATAGATTGTAGTCCTTTGTGACCAAAGGAAGCATGGTTCTTCTGCCCAAAACCAGTTCCACAGAATCTTCTATCCTGGAGATAATTGGGAAGTAATCCAATTATCTCCAAAGACAGAGGCAAAACTCCATTGAACACATGGCAGCAAAAGACAATAAAACACATAAAAACATATAACTGTGCAGCCATTGCACAAGACAGGTACATTCAACATATCCCCAGATAGCTCAGATCTGAGCGCACATTATTACTGAATGGCGCTCAGAGCACACACATACAGTTCAATTGCCATTGAGCCAAAGTCTTTCCCATAGTCTTTCATTATACGAATGGGCTCCATGGCATAGCTATCTGGGGTATCACCGCTCAAACAGGGCAAGCACCAAATGACCTGGCTTTCATGTCTTTGCAGGGGAAATCAAGCCTTTTAACATGAGGCCATAATCCAAAGGCAACAGGCGAGCAACCTGGCTTCTCCAATGTAATGTGGCGAGATTGCTCTCGTCACACTACCGAACAATCAGGCGAATGCTACATACAATACATCTATACAGGGGAATAATCACACAAAATACATTTTTAAAGCAAACTTTGAGGACAGCCCCATTCCATCCGCTATAACACCATTTATCAGTCCGTCCAGGACTTATTGCAGGCAGGTGTAATTGTCCCAATAACTTCTACTTGCAATACTCTCTTGTATCCCGTCAAAAATAATGAAGAGAAGGGGAAACCAGTAGTATACCGTATGGGACACGATTCAAGGGCAATAAATGCAGTGACCGAACGAATTGCCCCAAATGTCCCCAGCACTCATACACTGTTGTCACAGATTCCATCTTCGTCTAAGGTGTTTCCGGTCATTGATTTGACAAATGCATTTTTCTCTGTTCCCTTGCACCCAGACAGTCAATTCCTTTTTACATTTACACATAAACACAAACAATACACATGGACTGTATTACTCCAGAGTGCACACAATTAATTTGTTATGTACAGCATTGCAATGGCCCAAATTCTAGAAGCTTGGCCAAGGGCAGATGATGTTATATTGTTGCAATATGTTGATGATTTCCTGTTATGTTGCCCAGATCTGAAATCTTGTACAGAGCACACCCTGTCTTTACTAAATTTTCTAACACAAGCAGGCTGCAAAGCTACCAAAGCCAAACTGCAGGCATGTGTTCCCACTGTTATCTTTTTAGGACACTGTATCTCTCATGCTGCAAAACATCTCAAAAAAGACAGGAAAAATGCTGATGAACAAATTAACCCTCCACGCAGCCTAGCCCAACTACGTACATTTCTAGGTCTAATCTCCTATTGTTGCCCTTGGCTTCGCTCTGCAGTAATCTACCTGCAGCTCTTTTATGATTGCCTCACCCATGAACCCTTTCATTTAACTCCTGAAGCAGAGGAAGCCTTTTACACCCTTAAGTTGCTTGTCACCTCAGCCCCGGCACTAGGTCTCCCAGATTATAGAAAACCCTTCACCCTGTTTTGCACCGAGCAGGCTGGTTATGCAACAGCTGTCCTATCTCAGGACGACGGTGGGAAACAGAGACCCATTGCCTATTACTCCACCAGGTTGGACCCTGTTGCCAGAGGTGCCATTTCCTGTGTAAGAGCAGTAGCTGCTGATAGTGCCCTTCTGGACAAAGCCACTGAAATTGTCCTAGATAATCTGGCCATTTACACCCCGCATGACATTAACAGCATTCTAACACAAGTTCAGCCCAAACACATACATACTGCGAGGCATCTCAGGATGCAGTGTGCTCTCCTCATGCCTCCAAATGTCACTTTTAAAAGGTGCATGATATTAAATCCATACACACTACTTCCCCTGGATTCAGGGCCGGACTGGCCCACCGGGATACCGGGAAATTTCCCGGTGGGCCGCGGCACCTGGGGCCGGTCTGACAGCCCTAATCATTGGGCTGACAGCTCCGGCCGCACAGAGCCCCATGGGAGCAGGGGGAGCCGGCCGGCACAGCTCACACACGGCCGGCCGGGATCATTAAAAAAAATAAAATTGCGGCGGGGGCGGAGCTTAGTGCGACGGGGGCGGGGCTAACTGGGCTTAGCGTGCGGCGGGGGCGGGGCTTAGCGTGCGGCGGGGGCCTGGCTGACTGCAGCATGGGAAGCAGGTAGGAGTCCCTGCTTCCCCAACAACCAGCCTCCAGGAGCTGCAAGCAGGAGGGAAGAAGGAGGTCAGTGTGTGACTGTCTGTGTGTGACTGTCTCTATGTGAGTGTGTGACTATCTGTGTGTGACTGTCTCTGTCTCTATGTGAGTGTGTGACTGTCTCTGTGTGAGTGTGTGACTGTCTCTGTGTGTCTGCCTGTGAGTGTGTGACTGTCTCTGTGTGACTGCCTGTGAGTGTGTGACTGTCTCTGTGTGTGTGTGACTGTCTGTGTGTGACTGCCTGTGAGTGTGTGACTGCCTGTGTGAGTGTGTGACTGTCTGTGTGTGACTGTGTGAGTGTGTGACTGTCTGTGTGAGTGTGTGACTGTCTGTGTGAGTGTGTGACTGTCTGTGTGTGACTGTGTGTGACTGCCTGTGAGTGTGTGACTGTCTGTGAGTGTGTGACTGTGTGTGTGTGTGACTGTGTGTGTGTGTGACTGTCTGCCTGTGTGTGAGTGTGTGGCTGTCTGCCTGTCTTTGTATGTGTGGGTGTTTGCCTCGGTGTCAATGACTGTCTGCCTGGGTGTCAGTGACTGTCTGCCTGTGTGTGTGTGGCTGTCTGCCTGGGTGTCAGTGACTGTCTACCTCTGTGTGTGTGTGTGCGCACATCTGCTAGTGAGGGAGCCTGTGTGTGTGTGTGTGTGTGCCTGCTAGTGAGTGAGCTTGTATGTGTGTCAGTGAGCTTGTCTGTAGGGATCATATGTGTGTGTGTGTTAGTGAGCTTGTCTGTAAGGAGCATGGGTGTGTCGGAGCCTGTCTGTGGTGAGCATGTGTGTACAGTGAGCTTGTCTGTAGTAAGCATGAGTGTGCAGCCAACTATTTCAATTGCCTATATTATATATATATATAGGCAATTGAAATAGTTGGCTGCACTCTCGGATTTCCTGAAAATGTAACTTTTATTGAAATATTTAAGAGAAGATCAACGTTTCAGTCCCTCTTGTGGACTTTTGTCATGATCCTGACGAAAGTCCACAAGAGGGACTGAAACATTGATCTTCTCTTAAATATTTCAATAAAAGTTACATTTTCAGGAAATCCGAGAGTGCAGCCAACTATTTCAATTGCCTATATATATATATATACACCCTCCTACATAGCACAATGACTTATGGGGCTGGCATAGATTTTTTTCCAGGGCTGCTTCGTATCCCCAGTCCGGCCCTGCCTGGATTTAAAAGAGGGGAGTGATGATTGTAGTTCTGATACTTTTGTAAATTCTCTGTCACCAGATGAGTTAGCTGAAGCTCAGGTACCCCATAACTGTGCAGCATTAATGGCACAAGAGACAGCAAGTTTTTTGCATGTTACTGATTCTCCATTGTCTAATCAAGACTTTGAGTTTTTTGTAGATGTTCCAGATATGCTGATGAGAAGGGCAACTTCCACACTGGAAATGCTGTAGTCTCTGCACATGAGGTAATAAAAGCTGAACCACTCACCCCTCACTGCTCTGCACAGGAGGCTGAGCTGAAGGCACTCACTGAAGCGTGCAAACTGGCCTCTGGTAAGACAGCTAATATTTACACAGACTCTCGCTATGCCTTCGGTATAGCCCATGACTTTGGGCCTATATGGCGGGCTCATGATTTTCTCACCTCAGCAGGAACCCAAATCAAGAACTCTGAAACCGTAAGTGCACTTATGGATGCTATCCTGCTGCCCACTCAAGTAGGCATCATCAAGGTGGCAGCTCACGTGAAGATCACAGATGAAATTACAAAAGGAAAACCACAAAGCGATGAAGCTGCAAAGCAAGCAGCAATTCAAGTTGATCCCTCTACAGGTAATACCTTCCTACAGGTTGTCCTTACAGATGTCGTCGTTGACTACAATATACTGTTGAGCCTGCAGAAACAAGCAAGCACTGAAGAACATGATCCCTGGAAGAAACAAGACGCAGAACCTGATGATGACAAAATGCCATGAGTATTGTATCCCATGATGGCCCAGCTGGCCCATGGACCTACACATCTATCCAAGATGCACATGAACAGCATAGTAAACATCCATTGGGCAGCATCCAGATTTACTGTTGTAGCAGCTATACACACCCAAGTTTGCATGATTTGTCTCTAGGAATAGTCCAGGACAGGCTGTAAAAACACCAGGTAAACACATACCAAGGCCTTTACTTGGATTTACTTTACCCATTTCAGCGACTGCAGATAGACTATAGTCAACTGCCTAAGGTAGGAGTGTATGAATATGTGTTGGTGTCACTGAACTCTTTTCAGGTTGGCCTAAGGCATACCCAGTGTCAAAAGCCACAACAAAGGCCACAGCAAGTAAGCTTCTGATGGAACTGGTATGTAGATATGGAGTACCTGAAGTGATTGGAAGTGACAGGGGTACCCACTTCACTGGGGAAATAATGCAAGAAATAATGAAAGCGCTAGGGATCAGGCAGGCGTTGCACACCCCCTACCACCACCAGAGTGGTAGAAAAGTAGAAAGGGCAAATGGCACTTTAAAGAAAAAAATTGCAAAGGCCATGCAAGAGACTCCTCCTAGCACTCTTCTCAATGAGATTCACCCCCCGTCCTAGAAGTTGTTTGTCTCCCTTTTAAATTCTGTTTGTCGGTTGTGCCCCAAAAACAGGACTCTATTTCCCCCAGACACTCCAATTACAACATAGTAACATAACATCCTATGTCTAGGCCTTCCATATGCAGGTGCATAAACAACTGCTTGATTCTATTCCAGATGCAGACTCCAGTCCTACCACTCATAAACTACAACCTGGAGATTGGGGAGTGATAAAAAGACACGTGAGAAAAGGACTTGAGCCAAGTATTGCTAATAGTGATGTCCCGAACGGTTCGCCGAACGGTTCGCCACGGACTCATCATTGAGTAAACTTTGACCCTGTACCTCACAGTCAGCAGACACATTCCAGCCAATCAGCAGCAGACCCTCCCTCCCAGACCCTCCCACCTCCTGGACAGCATCCATTTTACATTCATTGTGAAGCTGCACTCTTAGTGAGATGTCCAGGACCATAATCTGACCTAATCTCTGAAACCACCCAGCTACGCAAACCGCAGAGAGACAGGAGAGATGTCAAAAACACCCTTACTTCAGATTGTGACCCTGAAACACTCTTATCTAATTCTGAATACCCTGCCCTTGCGTCCTCCATGGTAGGAGTCCCAAGCTTAGCACTGTATAATACCCGAGTAATTAATGCCTTAGCCTGTTCAGTCGCCAAAGGTTTAAATGCAACATCCCCGGCCCTGGAGAAACTTCTAATGGATACCCAGGTGAATAAGAAAGCGATCATTGATAGAGCAGCAATAGAGCAGCTATTGATTATTTACTGTTGAAACATGACTTAGGATGTGAAGCTGTGAAGGGTATGTGTTGTTTTAACCTCTCTGATCATGGAACCATGATACACGAACACATACAGAACTTACACAACTTAGTGAAAGAAAGTAAGCAAGACACCGGGTTCTTTGAGGATTGGGATTGGACATTTAGACTGGGAACATGGTTGAGTTTATTGATTAAGAAAGTCTTGTACTTGTTGTTACTATATGTGTTTATCATAATGGTGATTTTTCTCACTTTTAAGCTCATTTCTTGTCTACTAACATCTATGTAAAACCAAATCTACTGTTGGTCGAACTTTAACCTATACGCCAGTTTCTCCTGCTTATGGAGTCTACAGAGCTTAACTGATGAAGAAAAATCTCCACAGCTTATTCTTGGGCTTCCCAGTTCAAGGTAACCATGGTGAAAATTTAATGAAAGTACCACAGGTCTGACTAGCACACCTGGAAATACCTTGGACAATTGGGTGACCCTTGGATCAAAAGAGGGGACTGTGAAGGAATGCACCTTGATTCCAAGGCTCAAGCTTGTAGGTGCCATAAATGGCTAGCCAATATTAAAATTAGCTAACTTGGACTCATGTAATGCTTTATGCTTAAATTAACTTTGTCCTACATTAAGTTCTCTTTCTTATAAAAACTAGCCCACACCTGAGTACTTCTGTAAACTGCTTATCTTTTGACATTTAGAGATATGTCTCTTGTTACATTCCTTTCCTTGAATGCAAGCACGTATCCTCTACTGTATAAAGCTGATCTCTCCCAATTAAAGCTAAATGCAATTGTTCTGGATTCACAACTATCAACACGTGTCGTGTGCCTTATTGCTTCTCCAAGCGCTTGAATGTATTTGGGTTCCCCTGAACATAATTAAAGGGTGATTTATCCATGACAGAATCATCTAAAGTTCACACTTTCTTTATTGCAAATTCTATTTAATTTTTGAATTTCTTTTCTCCTACTATTGATAGCCTTGAAGACCCTGCAGGGCCCTCCTATATGTGATTAGCATTATATAAGCAGAGCAGAAGATTAAAAAAAAACTTCTAACATAAATTAACATCAGATTGAAAATAAAACCTTTTTTCCATGCAGGCTGTGTAAGTCACAGTCAGGAGAGGTGTAGCTTGGGCTGCATGGACAGTAACAAAAGTGATTTAACTCCGAAATGGCAGCAAATTGAGCAATGACACTGCAGGGGCATGATCTATACAAAAATTGCTTCATTTAGCTAATGTTATTTTGCTGATTACACTGTCCCTTTAAGTTATGATTAGTCATCATGCATACTGTTCCAAATAAAATGGTGCTTCCAGCAATGTTTTTTTGTCTTGTATGAGAAATTTAGCTCTGAGCAAAAAGGCTTCAAAATTTCCCAAAACAGAAAGTTATAGAGAACTAAAAACTGAAATACAGCATTTAATCTGAAATGGACAGACTGTATTTTGGGCTACATTTCACAAATATCTTGTCAGATCTCCACAATCCATGGTTTAGTTAAGCCTTTAGCAGTACAATTAGGTACAATTAGGTAAGAGAATGTTGAACCTTTTGGTCCAACAAGTAAAGATTCCCTCGCCAGCAGCGAGACCTCATAGCTAGAGCATGGTTAGTACTTCACCAAGCAGGGATGTTATAAAGAGACATACGTTTCCCATACTGAGTAAGAAACACCTGCACCTGTATTACATACCTGTCTGTGCCTCACCTGTCGTTTTCCCTGATCTGAGCAAAGAAGCCATGGAATACTGACTGAGGTGCATGTTACAACTGTTACAGCAACCTCGAACTTTTTGTAAATTAGTAATATTTTATCTGCAATAGTATATTTTTGTTAGTTATTCAGCTAGCACATTGTACAGATGGAATAATTAGCAGATTACAGTAGAGCTGTGAACCCCTTATTCAATTAGCTCCACAAAAGACAGACCTCAGACCAAATGTCCAGTAATTAGGGAATTCGACATTTAGGCCAAAGTAGCTGAGACGGGGAAAGCTGTAGGAAATAGCTGGGTGTATTATTCCTGTTTCCCTATTTTAGCCTACAATTTGCAAATCCCTGCTCAGTTGAATTGAAAATTTCACGTTTAGTGATAAATCTTGCAAGTTTGACATACAATGTTATTTACTAAAGTGTCTTATTGTAATCAAGGCTTTAGGCACTTTAGTTAAATGGGTAATTGCGGAGAGATGAGACGGGAATTTTAGACCACAATCAGACAAGCTAAAATACAAGACAAGCTAAAATAAAATGCTAAAGTGTTTTGTTTTTTTCTATATTGGTTTATATTTGCAGATGTATGGCAGAAAAATATACTCACCCACATCTGTGTCTCTGTGACTTTTTATTAATTCTCCAAGCTCAAAATTTCCTGATATAACAGCAACCTGCAGGAAGACCAAAGAGACAAAGAAAGATACATTGAAAAGTTACGAAAGCTTAGATAGAAAAAAAAAAAGGTAAAATGTGTAGTAAAAACAAATAGAAGAATAAAAATAAAATATAAATTGCGAAAATAAAAAAGACATAATGGAATGCAG